ACAGGACAATGTCGTCTGCAAGAAGCAGAGACGAGATCCTGTGGTCCCCAAACCGGACTCCCTCCGCCCCCTGGCTGCCCCTAGAAATTCTGTCCATAAAAATAATGAACAGAACCGGTGACAAAGGGCAGCCCTGCCGGAGTCCAACATGGTTTTCAACATCACATTGAATTTTGTTTGTCCTTATGAGATCTTTAGTGGACTGTTGGGTTTGAAGGAATGTGAATTCCTTTACACCAAATGGATTACACATTGAAACAATTTTATTGTCCAAAGAAGTCAAACAAAGAGTACATTAACTTAGGTACACCTGAACAGCCTGAATAGACACTTCATTTAGTGTCACAACACTTAATGGTTGTGCAGATCTTTTGTTCCTGAGTATTTTATACATGGACCTCAAGCTTGTTATAACTATGTTTATTTGGGAAATCTTATATAACTCCTTTGGGGAGTCTCTGCTCTAGTAACGTTAGCTTTTACCAATGCAATGCATATCGTGTATGCTTGCATTAACTAGCTAACGTTTTACATTTTCCCCTCAAGGTCATTAACGTTGATGTTAATTGAATCTCATATTGTAAAATTTAGCTCACGTTTTGCACGATTATAGTTGTAAAATGACAGTAAGTAAAGTAGGACTATTTAAAAACTTGATACCAACGGGAACTAAAGTTGGCTTACAATGAACAAGAACAGCTAACGTTAGCTTTAATCTGGCTAAGCAGCTTTGTTTTCGGGTTACTACAATATCTGACGGGGCTACAACATCGATTTCCCACTTATGAAGTGATTGTTTTGTGGCTGAAGAGTATAACGCTGTTCAGTGAAGAGCATATCACTGATGTAAACAAGTCGACGTGTCAAGAGTTTCAGCCTCCAAAACAAAGTGTGCTAGCTGTTTCAAACAGGCCTAGCTGCCCTTCGTCCTGCCTGCTCCACGTCGCCATTTTACAGCAGGCAGCCCCTTTTACACTCAGGCATTCTGAGAGCTCTACTGGGGACCTCGAGGGCCTAAGTTGCGGCAGATCGTCCAAATGCTCTCCTTGACGAAAATGACAATATTTCCATTCTCCGGCCCTAGACAGTGTACGATTTTTTCTTACCGTGTATTTTCGGATAGAAGGATATCCTTTGGTGTAAAGGCGCTAAACGGAACTTAAATTAGTAACCGATAATTGTTGCTTCTTTCTAGTCGGGCGCCATGAGTATCTCCTTGTTTCCTGTCCGTGCAACCGGATCTTATTTATTATTTTGTTGAAAACAGGGTCTTTACGTATCCAATCGTTGGTTATATTTACTAGCAGTGCCAGTTTTTATGTAGTGATAGTTTGGCCGTTACATGTTGTTTCTCCAAATATTCGCTAAATGTATTGTTATAAATTCTGAGGGGGACTATTGTTTTTAGAGGAAGGCGTGCTACGTATTTGGATGCGGAGTAATATGGATGAGTAATGGTCACAGTCACCTTGTTTAAATCAGAACATTGGTAGAGTAAAAAGTAATCAGCATGTCTACAGTTCAGGGTATGGCTTTACGTGTTTCTTTGGGTAACATTTTATAATACAGTAGTTTCATCTATTAAAAAATATGATTGCAAATGTGTCTGAGAAAATACAATATAAAACTACAGATAGTAGAACCCATCCTCGATTTTTTTTTCTAACATGACTTCGTTATATGATTTGAAATAAAGACAGGGTGAGAAATGCATCCCTACTTTGGAAAATTTGTCCTACACTATAGCAGCTCATATCCTAGGAAACATACCTTTCTCAAATTAAAAACTATGTAAGGCATCTATTGTAATCTCATATGGAAAAACTCCAATAATGTAAAAATATAACATTTAGATTAAGGAGGGTCAAATATGGCTGTTTAATACGGAATCTCGCGATAATTACTTCTTTTGATAACAGTAAGAAGAAGCTGGGCTATGTGGACTTTAATGTAGGCCAGATGTTTGTTGTTTCCTTTTTATGCTTGAATTAGTACTGAATTCTTACAGTGAAATATTATAATGTATTACAGTATCTATGTTTTTGCTGTGTGGGGAAGTTGGACTCAAATGTTGTAGGGGGTGTGGGAATGACAGTGATTTAAAACAGTCCTTGTGTTTTTCAGTTTAGTGAATGATAGAGACAGCTGACAGAGGTAGTCGTCCTGGAGCGTTTATTGTATTGAAAGTTAAAACTTTAATACAAAATATTTCAATCTCATAAATAGTTTCAAGGACGGAGACGTGTGTTGTCATCCAGTGCAAGTAATTGGCTTTGAAGCCATTTTCAGAAATACATCAAATTATACAAAACACATAAGCTTTAGGACACAAAAATAATAGATATTGCTATAAATACCAAAACAATTTAATAATGTTAAGAGCCTGAACCTGTCAGACATAATCTGGAATCTGATCCAGACAGCTTGTAAGAATATTTAAGTTGTGGCTGTTGGTCTCAATGTTTAGGCCACCATAACATGATATAATAGCAGTTCACAGATTTATCAGACTTAGTAAAGGGCGGTGCCAAAGATTGCAATTTTCTTCTCTGCACTTGGCCTTTGACATAATTTTAGGCCATTCTGGTATTTTAGAATTTGCCATCATCAGTGATGGCCACACAAATACTGCATTACATTCCTCCTGACACCTGCTAAAGAGAGAAAAATATTTGCTACCACATTACAGACAACTGCCAACTCATCCCTGTGTGCGTGTCTCCTCATTACTGATCAAGTGAAGAATCTGAGCACTTGAGGATGTCATATTTCACATAACCAACACGGTCCACCTGTCTGCGGGAATTCATACGCCAGTAGAAGCGGTCTCGGCAGAAGTAGTAGTGGCCTAAAACAGAAATATTCAAAATAAATCAGTAGAATATCAAATGTTGATTTTTATGTGCAACTAGCTACTGCTACAATATTTACTGGTTTTGTTTATTGAAAAGAAATATTTGAAATTGACAGATTTATTTACCATTGTACTGGAATACATCATGAGAATCATTGGGGACACCAGCAAAAGCAATATCTGTCTGTTTGGGGTACCCTGGGTCAATTTTCTGGGCCTTCACATCAAGTCTGTGTTGATCAGACAAAGAATCACACCAGAGAATGTCATTAAAAGTGGCAAAACAAAGTTTCTTCTGAATTCTAGATTTAAACATGCTGAAAGTACTACTGTAACTCACCTCCAGAAATTCTCCCCACTGAAGAGCAGCACTTTGGCTGTCCCCTTCTGCAGTGCTCCATCCACCTTCTGAATGCTTTTGGGGAGGCCGAGCTTCTCTATGCTGCGGGGACCCAAAACATTCTTCCCTGTGTACACCCAGAATCTGGTCCCTGTATAAAAAGAAAAAGCACTATGAAGCTGATCTGAATTTTGACTCATGTTATTGGTCCCTTATATGGTATGATGTATGAAGTGTCTTTACCTGAGAAAAAGTACAATTTCTTGGTCAGAGGCTCCTCAAAAGCAGTGTCAATGACTGGTGGCAGAGCTGGCCACCTCTCAGAAATAGAGAATGGTCCCCTGAGCTCTTCATCACCCTTGCCAGGCTTGTTCCAGTAATATCTGTTGATCAACGCAGAAAAATAGCACATCAACACAGCCCATTTTGTGTTTGTTGTCATTTTTACTTGTGTTACAGAGCAGAGTAGACTGATTTGCTGACCCGTCTTTGAAGAAATGCAATTCTCCCGCAATCACAGTGATCGCATCAAAGTTGATCATCTTGCAGGCATCTTTGGTTGGATTCACAGGTCGTGTGGTTGGCGGTGGAGTAGGTTCATCTGTAGGATCTGGTTGGGTGGCAGTGGGGGCGGGGGAGGGATCAGGGCCTGTTCCGCGTCCTTAAAAATAATAAAGTGGTGGGTGAGAGACAATAAAATGTAAACATTTTGATGTTTGATTTGAGTTTGCATGATATAGATGTAAGCAACTTATCATGACCTTACCATAGAGATACTGAATGCCTTCAATGTCGTCTTTATTCAGGGAGAAGTTTTCCACATAGCTGTACATAGGGTACATGAGAGCGTCTCTAACGGTGGAGTGTTCCAGGCCGATGGCATGTCCAAACTCATGGGCTGCCACCAGGAACAAACTGTAACCTGAATACATACAGTATGGAACATTAATGAGTGACAAGTGTAAATACATACTTACAGCATTTTAACTACACTGCTTTCTTTTTATGTTACTCACCCTTGTCAGGACAGAAGCCCCATTTCCTGTCTTCATCGTAGTTGTCAGTAGTACCGCACCACAGCTTGCCATCTCCTCGACCTACACTGGTGCAGGAGTCATATTTCTTACCCAAGAACTCAAAGGGGAAGTGGCATGGCTCACCCTCAGAATTTCCACCAATTACAGCCGTGTCTGGCCAGAGACATAACAAAAACAGTAAGAAAAGAAGCCACAGTGGTAGCCCTCCTCGCCATTTTTGCATTTTGGTTCTTGTCACTCACCACGACTGGGGCAGAATCCATATTTTTTGTCAATGTCAAAGTTGTCTGTGGTTGCACACCAGCGGTACCCATCACTGCGGCCCTCTGTGGTACAGCTGTCATATTCCTCCCCCAGAAAGGTGAAGGGAAAGACACACTTGGCTCCATCAGCATTTCCTCCAAATGTGTAAAGAACTGCAAGGATGGGAATTAAAGGCAAAGAATGAGCAGGTGAAGGGAGTCAGCATGTCACAAAAGCAAAGCCCTCATTTAGGAGACCTCTGGCCTTTGATGTCTCTTGAAGAATAAATTGTCTGGCTTACGTTCGCTCGGGCAGAAGCCATATTTCTTGTCTCTGCTGTAGTCAGCTGTGGTGGCACACCATGGCAGGTTGTCTGAACGGCCGTCAGTGGTACAGGTTGTGTAGGATTTGCCCTGGAAAGTGAAGGGGAAGTGGCACATGGCACCCTCTGCATTCCCATAGCGAGTCTTCACAGCTTAGGTGACAGAAGCGTATATTAATTTAAAACAGTGTATGAACTGAACACTAGAGGGAGACAACTACATGAAATATTGGTGGGGGCAGTAATATGTTTTGGTACTTACCTGCTCCTTTTCCCAGGGTCCAGAACTCATCGTCATCAAAGTGGGCATCTCCCTGCACACCCTCACCTGGGGGATAAGCATGAGCCAGAAGCCCATCTTTACCATCAAATGGGTATGGGTCCCCATGGTCTGAAAAGAAAATTACATTACACACATTAAAGTCTTTGATTTTACACTTGTGTTTAGTACAAAATAACATTTCAGTTAGGTAACATGGGTATGTAAAAAACAGATTAAATGACCACTCCACAAGCACACACCTTCTTTTCCAAATGATATCATGATGTCAGCCGTCCCATCAAAGAGGCGCGTAAACGTCAAAGGGGTCACATCACTCCACACCTTGAAGGCTCTGGCAAAGGCGTCGTCGATCAGAGAGCTCTCCATGTCTGGAGAATAGTTAATGATCCTGTAGAGAGTAGCAGAATGACACTCTATAACTGACAATGTCACTGAAGATATCCGGTGATGTAGCTCAATCAGACACTCCTGATACATGCATTATAATGTCATTAACTCTAGTGGTAGATTCTTTTTCTCTACTCACCTGTAAGTGATGTCATGATGGTCCCATTTGAGGTCTCCTGCAAAGGTTTGGTAGTTGGCCACATCGGGAACCCCACAGCGAGGTTGTTTCATGGCCTCCAGGGTGGACTTATCCAGCTTTCCAGTCTCCTCCAGCCCCATCTGCCTCTGCATCATCTTCAAAGCCTTCTCAGTGGACACCATGGACTGGAAGCCACTGCGGTGCTGCTGTGTTTCTAAGTAGCCAAACTTCTTCAGATAACTCTAGAGAAGACCATTACAAACCATATCAGTGAGTGCAGGTAGATGACTATTAAGTGGGGAAGGTGGCATTGTGCAGAAGTAAACATCTGCTTGAAAAACAAATTTGACACCTGCTTTCACTGAATTTAGAACAAAATATTTTCTTTTCATTAACATTATAATAGGAATCCCTGTTCAAGTAATTATTTCCCTGCACAGCTTGATTGCATTCTGTTTCTGGGATTTCAATCAATCAAAACAACACAAGCCATCTGTTACTCACTTCTGCCAGCTCCACATCAGTCATATTTTTGATGATGTCTCCTGGGAAGGTGACAAAGACCTGCTTGAGAGGATGGCTCCATCCATCCTGCATACATATCCCCAAAACTAAACACACAGCTGAAGCAAAGTATCTCATGATGAGACCTGCTGTAGAATGTAACAGCTTCTCCCCTGAAGATCAATTGTGTTTCTCCTTCAGCGGTTGCTTTGCTCTTTGTTTTGACTGGAGACTCTAGTATTTGCCTCTTTGCTGTGTGCCTGTTGTTGGAGTTTGGACCTTGTATATAAGCAATCTAACGTCTTAGTCACTTAACCTTGCCCCCCGCCTACCACCAACCTCAACCCTCCCACCTACATCTCGACAGACTTGCTGAATGCATAGGGGAAATTCCAAAATATCCACATATAGCTTTACCTAACAGCTAATACTAATTGAGTAATTGTTCATTTTTGGAGCTATTTCAAGCTAATTATGACTAACTCCTGTGGTTCCATTCATGTTCAAAAATAATGCATGCTGCCTGAAAACCCACACAACCAAATAACAAAGTACTTTGAAAGATTCTAATTTTTCTATTATCTTAAAAATTTACATAATAAAAGCCAGTATTAAAAGTAACTTTCATTAAATAATCTGAAGAGATAATTGCAGTGTTTAGATGCTCTTGTGCATTGTTGTTATCTTTTAATTCACAGGAAAACGTCTTTTTAACATGTTAGTGTATTTTTATCTGAGCCCAGCACACTCATCATGGGACCCAGCCAGACACTTCTGTTATCTCTGTGCTTAAAGTAGTTGTATGAAAAAGTTTGGTTCCACTTTTTTCAAAAATAGAAATTTATTTCTTCTCTATATAAAGTTGGGCACTGAATAAATGACAAAATAGGTCAAGTCAAAAGATTGTTGCAGAAAAACAAGGAAAAAATGTGTTGTCTGCTGCTCTCTTTTCTAAGCTGGAAACCTTTCTCTGTATTTAATGAATTAAACATTTTAATGGTAAATGATTCTGGTGGATAAAAAAAAAAATACATGCACTTATATTTATTATTTTGCAGTGTTACAATATTCTTATTGGCAAGAAACTCAGGAACCAGCTGTTTCATCATCATCATACACTGTTGCTGATGTAACTGCTTCATTGTCATGATGCCAAAATGACCCAATTTATTAGCAATGGCTTATACTTCACATGTGGTAATGAGTAACCAGATGTTTCTCCTTTTTTAACGATACAAAGAGGATCTTACATCTCTATGTCTCTATTTCTGATGCACATATGTGCAATATGTGTCAACAAAACACAAACAACTTGTGTTAGCTAATCTGGAATTCTGAGAATATATACCAACTATGTACAATAGAGAGAGTGTGTGTGTGTGTGTGTGTGTGTAGGCTGGATATATGTTGATATTTTGAGGTGTGTGAGTATCAAGGTGTGCCAGGATTTGTTTCAGCCAGCATATCATGACTCATTGCCTTCTCACATGAATGCCCAAAGCTGCAGATGAGGGGCTTTTTTGAGTGATCATGCTGCTGACTGCCTTTCTTTTTGTGCAAACATGTTTACTTGCCACTGCATTTTCAGATGCAGGGAAATAAACAAGTCTTATTAACCGATGTGCCAAGTCAGTACTCCATGTACAGTAGAGGGTTGTCCCGGCCAAAGCCCTTTATGGTTTTACAAGTCATGCATGTGGCTATAAAACACTGGCTACAGCTGAGACAGACCTAATATGGAGCGTTGTAATAAATTTAGTGCACATCCTGTCTCTTACAAATTGTGAATAGCCTTTTAGGGTGAAGAAAAGCATATGCCTTTTTGTTTCCCAATGAGGAGGAGGTGTGATGTTTTGAGCTGTGTGAAGGTAGCTTTCACAATATTTGAATCTGTGGTTTTTTTTCTCTCGAATTTATGGTTTCCTGATGTGGTTGTTACTTCACATATTCTGACACATTTATCATACATTTCTTGTATTTAACTTACTGTTGACGCATTAGAGATTACATATCCTCTTCTCATTAACCACTTCTCCTTTGTTGTCATGTTATTTCTGTTCATTATGATTTTCTCCCACAGAGCAGCAGCCATGGTTACACATATGACACCTGTAGTGACATACTGATGTAAAATAGCAACAAACCTAAAGTATTAAATATAATTCCACATGAAGTGAACAATGTTTTTTTTTTTTGCTGTGGCTATAGACATGTAAAACAACAATATAGTTAACACACAAAAATGTAGTTACACATATGGATTATGTTTCATTTGCACCAGAGTACCTCTTTCCAGCTTCAGATAGCTGCTCAACACAAGCCCACATTCATTTAATGCTGTTTTTGTGTTTATTCAGGCACAATCAAGAGTTTATTTCTGTTTATATGTGTCTCCAGAGCAGATCCCTAGGCCTCCTTTGAAAACATCTGCCACTGATTTTCCATGGCGTCAAAGGCTTAATGAATATGGCTCCATGCATTTTAACAAATGCCACATTTCATTTAGTTTCCCCACTTTTCTTCCAAAAAGACATCTGACACAGAGCCTAAAAGAAAAACATATTTTTGTGGCATTCTTCCCAAAGTTGGCCTTAATCACAGCACAGCCTATTGGCACACACTGTGTAATTGTACGAGGTGGTGAAGTGCGTCATCAGAAAACTGGATAATATCATGGTAGAGCAGCAGGACCCTCGCTGCTCATGTGGGTGCAATGATTAGGTTACGATTGTAACGACATAGAGAGGCACAATACTGCAAAACACTATTGCATATCCCAGACTTGGCTTGTTGGCACTTTGTCAGTAATTGTTCAAGTTGAAAACTGTGATTATGCATGGAGTTTTTGAAGTAGTGTATTCCCACCATGACATACTGATGTAAAATAGCAACAAACCTAAAGTATTAAATATAATTCCACATGAAGTGAACAATGTTTTTTTTTTTTTGCTGTGGCTATAGACATGTAAAACAACAATATAGTTAACACACAAAAATGTAGTTACACATATGGATTATGTTTCATTTGCACCAGAGTACCTCTTTCCAGCTTCAGATAGCTGCTCAACACAAGCCCACATTCATTTAATGCTGTTTTTGTGTTTATTCAGGCACAATCAAGAGTTTATTTCTGTTTATATGTGTCTCCAGAGCAGATCCCTAGGCCTCCTTTGAAAACATCTGCCACTGATTTTCCATGGCGTCAAAGGCTTAATGAATATGGCTCCATGCATTTTAACAAATGCCACATTTCATTTAGTTTCCCCACTTTTCTTCCAAAAAGACATCTGACACAGAGCCTAAAAGAAAAACATATTTTTGTGGCATTCTTCCCAAAGTTGGCCTTAATCACAGCACAGCCTATTGGCACACACTGTGTAATTGTACGAGGTGGTGAAGTGCGTCATCAGAAAACTGGATAATATCATGGTAGAGCAGCAGGACCCTCGCTGCTCATGTGGGTGCAATGATTAGGTTACGATTGTAACGACATAGAGAGGCACAATACTGCAAAACACTATTGCATATCCCAGACTTGGCTTGTTGGCACTTTGTCAGTAATTGTTCAAGTTGAAAACTGTGATTATGCATGGAGTTTTTGAAGTAGTGTATTCCCACCAAAACTCAATACACACACACACACACACACACATATATATATATATATACTCAACCTAGATTCTACAGTGTTTATGGTTCAACACTGTGCAGCAAGATTTACAGCTCTGTCCTTAAGTTTCAAATAGCCTTGTTAAAGCAAACTGTTTAACTCTCATGGTACAGTTGGTTTCCAGCTGGCAATTATAAATGTAAAAATCACTTCCTGATTGCTGCAGTTGATGTGGTTACTTGTCCAGCTTTCTTGTTCAGCTGCATTATGTTTTATGACAACTGGCTTGTTGACTTTGTGGTGGGACACTGAGCCTGTGCAACACATAGGGCCGTCACTGGGTTTGATGTAGAGGAAATGTTACCCTATCGTCATATCCAGGTACTTTACCCAGCCCTGCTGAGTTTGTGGTGCCTTGCAGTTATTCTGGGAACAGTTTTGTTTTTATACTCGACCAAACTCTCACAGCAGTTTATTTTGGCTTTCCAATTAGTTTGCCTTGCTTTATTTTTGACCATTTGATGTTGTTCATTTCACTATTATAGTAACAATGAAACCACAGCAGCACTGCAGCAGGTCTAATCTATTCTATCTAAATATTAGTAACCCATTTTAATTAGTCAGAATACCACGCATGCTTGTGGATGACAATATAAAACAAAAATCTTTGGAGCACAACAAGCAAAACAAATGACACAACCAGAGCTGATGAAAACAGGCAATTGCATGAGCAGAAACCATGTCCTGCACCCAGAGCTCTCGACTATCACTCATATAGCAGCTTGTCTATAATAAGTTATAAGTCCGTGTGATAAGTTTGACAGGAAAAATCTCATGAACAAACTTTAAACAGTTGCCATATCATGTTGTATACAATCATCTGAAGGGGACTATAGGGGCACGGCTTTGACTCATTTTTTCCCTGGAGAAGCAGACAGCAGTGATACTTCTGCTTCAGCAAACACTTTATCAAAGTCTACACTATTAGTCACCTTGGGGAGTGTTTTGTGTTTACTGTGGCAGCACTTATTCACACAATATTTTAGTGTATCACTCTAATAATCTTTTGTAAATGTATGAAAAGATGGATTCCAAAAGTGTAAGAAATCATACAAATAACCTAAAACTGTAAACACTTTCACATGCTGAAATAGTGATAGCAATAACGGTAATAATAAGGATGTCACATCCAGCCCAGGGCAAACAATATAAAATACTAGGTTAAAGTAAGTCATTTCAAAATGGCTTTTTGCTGCTGACTGTACGGTGACACAAATAAACCACCAAAACTAAGTGTAGATAATAGTTGTGTTAATCTTAAAAACCTTGAATTGGTCTTAAGTCTTCTGAAGACATCTGCTTCACATTAATGACTTTTCTCAATCTGATATGAGGAAATGAAGTTCCACTGCACTGCTAAGGATCAGAGCAGATTGCCGTGTCAGGTTG